AGGTTCCGGTAAGTTGTATCTGTATTTTCATTTTCTTTTAGGTATTGTTTGATTTCTTCTTTAATTTCCTCTGTGACCCACTGATTACTCAAGAGTGTGTTATTCAGTTTCCATGTGTTTGTGGGATTTTTGCAGTATCTTTTATCATTAATTTCTAATTTCAGAGCGCTATGATCCGATAACATGCAAGGGATGATTTCAGCTCTTTTGCACTTGTTTAAATATGTTCTGTGAGCTAATATATGGTCTATTTTAGAAAATGATCCATGTACTGCTGAGAAGAATGTGTATTCTGATGTTGTTGGGTGGAACATCCTGTATATGTCTTTCAAACCCATTTGTTCACAGGTATGATTCAGTTCTGTTATTTCTTTGCTCATTTTCTGTCTGGTTGATCTGTCCCTTGGTGTCAATGGCGTATTAAGGTCTCCTGTTACAATTGTGTTACTGATAATTTGAGTTTTCATTTCTGTTAATAATTGTTTTATATAACTTGGTGCTCTGGAGTTTGGTGCGTATATATTTAAGATAGTTATCTCTTCCTCTTGGAGTTTTCCCCTTACAAGTATGTAGTGACCTTCTTTGTCCTTTATGGTCATTGTTGGTTTAAAGTTCACGTTGTCTGCAAACAGAATGGCTACTCCTGCCTTTTTCTGGATTCCTGCTGCATGAAGAATTGTTTTCCATCCTTTGACTTTCAGTCTGTGAGTATCCTTCTGGGTTAGATGGGTTTCCTGTAAACAGCATATGGTTGGATTTTGTTTCTTGATCCATTCTGCTAGTCTGTTTCTTTTGATTGGTGCATTGAGACCATTTACATTAATGGTTATTACTGTTAAATGCTGGTTAATTGTAGGAATGTTATCTCTCTGCTGTTGCATCTTTATCTTTCTGTTCTGTTTAATTATTTGCTTTGCTTAGTGGTTTTTTCCTTTGTGTATCTAAACTGTCTTTCAATATTTTTTGCAGGGTCGGTTTGGTGTTCATGAAGTTCTTCAGCTGTTCTTTGTCATGGAAGTATCGTATTGCACCATCTATTTTGAATGATAGTTTTGCAGGATATATCAGTCTTGGTTGGAAATCATTTTGCTTTAGGATCTGGAATATTTCACTCCATGCTCTTCTTGACTTTATCGTTTGTGCTGAGAAGTCTGCTGTGATTCTGATAGGTTTTCCTTTATAAGTGATCTGTCTTTTCTCTCTGACAGCTTTTAGTAATCTATTCTTGTGTTGGATTTCTGGGATGGTGATTATTATATGTCTGGGTGTAGTTTTATTTTGGTTATGAGTGTTTGGAGTTCTATATGCTTCACTGATCTTGATGTCAGTTTCTGATCTCATGCTTGGGAGATTTTCAGCTATTACTTCTCTAAATATCCGCTTGACATCCTTTATGTTGTCTCCCTCTCTTTCATTAATCCCTATCATTCTTATGTTATTCTTCTTTGCATCGTCTTGCAGTTGTTGAATTGTTGTTTCCTGATTCCTTGTTATTTTCAAAAGATCTTTCCTTTCCTGTTCACTAGCTGCAATCATGTCTTCAAGGTCTGAGATTCTATCTTCACTTTCATTAAGGCGGTTTTTACAACTTTCAGTGGAGTTTTTTATTTCCTGTATATCTCTGTGCATCTGCATTATGTATTCTGTTTGTTTCTTATATTGCTCGTCTAGGGATTCTATCTTTTTGTTTAGTTCCTCCAATTTTTTATCTGTGTTTTCTTTAGATATATTTAGAATCTCTTTCATTTCTTTTATCATTTCTTCTTTTATCTGGGAGATTATTTCGAGTTTGAATTTCTTTAAAGCTTCCTGGAGTTGTTTGTCAACTTCAGTAGCTATTATGTCCGATATATGAGGTGGATGGGATATATTTTCTTCTATATACATTGCTCCTAGGGTTTCCTGAGATGGGCTGGAGGTTTGAGGTTGTAATTTGGTCTTTCGTTTTGTCATTTTGTATATTTCTGTGTTTCAAGTGTTATTTGAAAGCTTCCTCAGGATCTGTTGAAAATCCCCTTCTATGCTTGGAGCTACTGAGCCTCTGACACCGCACTACCCCAAGCCATTGGGCCTGCAGAACCAGTGTCCCTCCTCTGCCTGCTCAGAACTCCGCAGTTCCAGACAAGCTGGGCCTCAGGGACACTGTGCGCCCACCTGCCCCTTGGAAGATCCACAGCTCTTCAATTGCAGCCGGGTTAGGGTGCTCTCCACAGGCCACAGTGCCTCAGGAGCCTGTGATCCCTCCCTGCTTGCAGAGATATCCACAGTCCTCTAGGCAAAGGAAGGGACTTCTGCAGGCACTCCACATCCGCCCAGCTCCTCCTCTGCAGGCAGATGGCTAGGCACGGCTGGGCTCGGGGGTTAGTGCAGGCCCGCCCATCCGTCAGGAGTTCAGCAGACTTCCAAGTGTAGCCGGGGGGGGGGGGGGGGGGGGGATGGGGAGGCAGCTGTAGAGGCCTCTAACCCACTGCTCCACTTCACTGCACCCAGAAGCCTGGGGGGTCCGGAACAGTCTGAGATTTGGGCAGACTGTGCTGGGCACTCACCACAGGCTGAGGTGCCTCAGGAAGCTGCGATGCCTCTCTGCTTGCAGAAGTATTCAGTCCTTCAGATAAAGGAACGGGCTTCTGCAGGGACTCCGGATCCGCCCAGCTCCTCCTCTGCAGGAGATGGCTAGGTGCGGCTGGGCTCGGGGGTTAGTGTAGGCCCGCCCATCCATCAGGAGCTCAGCAGACTTCCAAGTGTAGCGGGGGGGGGGCGGGGGGGGGGGATGGGGAGGCAGCTGTAGTGGCCTCTAACCCACTGTTCCACTTCTCTGCACCCAGAAGCCTGGGGGGTCCGGAACAGTCTGAGATTTGGGCAGACTGTGCTGGGCACTCACCACAGGCTGAGGTGCCTCAGGAAGCTGCGATGCCTCTCTGCTTGCAGAAGTATTCAGTCCTTCAGACAAAGGAACGGGCTTCTGCAGGGACTCCGGATCCGCCCAGCTTCTCCTCTGCAGGAGATGGCTAGGTGCGGCTGGGCTCGGGGATAGTGTAAGCCCGCCCACCCTTCGGGAGCTCAGCAGACCTCCAAGTGTAGCTGGGATGGGGAGGCGGCTGTAGTGGCCTCTAACCCACTGCTCCACTTCACTGCACCCAGAAGCCTGGGGGGTCCGGAACAGTCTGAGATTTGGGCAGACTGTGCTGGGCACTCACCACAGGCTGAGGTGCCTCAGGAAGCTGCGATGCCTCCCTGCTTGTAGAAGTATTCAGTCCTTCAGACAAAGGAACGGGCTTCTGCAGGGACTCCGGATCCTACATTCTAGGTTTTGTGGTGGTGAGATTACTGGGCTGTGGTGGGTGTCCTTGATGTCACAATTGTCGTAGACCACATAAGAAGAGGAATGTGGCATTGAATCCACTGAATGGGTAAACAGGCTTGTCTGTCCATTTTTATTTCTGTCAGTTCCTTGTAGCATCCAAGTTATTTTAATTCAAAAGAGAGTGCTTGGGCCAGGGATTTAGTTCAACAGCACAAGTGCCTGCTTGGCAAGTGTGAGGTTGTGAGTTCGATCCCTGGTAATAACTACAACAACAACAACAAAAAAAAAAAAAAAAGAAAAAAAAGAAAAAAAAAAAGAAAGAAAGAAAATAAAAGAAGAAGAAAAAAGAAAAAAAGAAACAGTGTGCTTCAATTAGAAAAACAACCTTATGGCAGAAATTTCTGGAATAAGCATATATGCACACACACCCAGCAGTCGTGTCATCCGTAGAAACAGTCCTCTTCAAGAAAGTGTGAAGTGGGCAGGCAAATGGGGACATGGGGAGACCTGTTCTCCTTTCCCTGTTCCCGGGACTTTAGTTATATGGCAAATGTCGTGCCCAAGTTAGTTAGGCAGCTGATTTTTTTGGTGGAAGTTCATGCCATTTTCCCACAGTCTGTACACCATAAACTCAGTTTCCACAGATACTAAAGGTGCAGGGTAAGTGTTGAGTCCTCCAGTGCGCTCGTGGATTGTTGTTCTGAACGGTGAAGTGTAGAAGAGAACCAGAGTCGGTCCGTGGAAGGTGCTAGGATCTGTGGGAGGTGGTGTGAGCCTGTGGGCAGATCAGGCCAGCGCTGGGAAACAGAACCTAGAACGTGCTGCACTAAAGTGCAGAGGTGTCAGAAATCCGAGGCTCTGTTGAAGACCCTGGCTTGAGGTCAGCCCAGCCCAGTGTGCAGTCAGAGGCTACATCTAAGTCCCAACAGGCAGAGGCCTCTCGGTCCCTTTCGATGGAGGCCACTGGAAGTCAAAGGAAACCCTGGCCTCGCTGGTGGAAAGGGCAGCATTGAGCTAGAGAATCAGGACGCCAAGGTGCAGGCTCAGGAAAGAGACTTCAGATGCGGTTGTGCCAAGCAGTGCCTGGGGGGAGGTGTCCACCTGCCTGCCTCTTTTCCCCTGCTTACCCTACTTCGTCCTGGCACTGCTGTGGACCCCGGGGATGGAGCAGAGACAGCAGCCAGACAAACCATTAAACATGATATTTCAGGTCGTGATCATCGCTGGAGCAAGGCGGGAGGGATGGAGAGGTAGATCCTAAGCAGGGCGCTCCTGGGTTTTGGTCAGGAGGTGGCCTTGCGTCACCTTCTCATGCTAAGAGCCCCGAGCAGGTGGACTTGCACTCAGTGGGATCCACTTCAGCTGTTACAGCATGCATCAAAATTTTCTACCTTGAGGTTTTAAACTTCAACTGCAGGAGGAAATAAATACAATGAGCTGGGTGGGGAAGGAGAGGAGGGTGCCATTTGGCAGGGGGCGCGGTTGGGGAAAGGGCTAGTAAGTTCCCTCCTTCCTGATTGCTGAGAGGAGGCTGTGCCAGGGGAAATCGGGCCACAGGTGGGGGACAGCCTTTGCCATCGTGTAACCTCAGAAATTATTTTTGACACCACCATTTGACAGTGGACTAGTAGGTTTGATTTTGGTGGCAGAGGATTATTACGCAGCAGTGCTAAGGTTTTTGCTCTCTCTCCTGTAGCTCTGTAGGAGGCCGGCCCAGGAGGCAGGCGGCATGGCTAGCTCGGCCCGGGAACATCTGCTGTTTGTTCGGCGTCGGAACCCCCAGATGCGGTACACACTGAGCCCCGAGAACCTGCAGAGTCTGGCTGCTCAGGGCTCCCTGCCCGAGAACATGACCCTGCCGCGCGCCAACAGCGACACGGACCTGGTGACTTCCGAGAGCCGCTCCAGCCTCACGGCCAGCATGTACGAGTACACGCTGGGCCAAGCCCAGAACCTCATCATCTTCTGGGACATCAAGGAGGAGGTGGACCCCAGCGACTGGATCGGCCTCTATCACATCGGTGAGTCAGGGCTGGACCCATGTGGGGCGCGGCGGAGGGTCTGCCATGTGCTGGTCGTGTGTACTTGGGCAGAAAGGTCCACGCACAAACACACCCGCAGATTCAGGGAATTCTCCCTCTTCCCTGGGCGTAGGGGAGTCAGTGGTAGCTCGCTGCTAGGAATTTGGTGGCTGTGTCTCCCCCAAATTCAAAACCTGGAGATGGGATGGTGATTTTCTTTGTAGAACTTTGGATCAATTGCCTCTGGTCAGCAGTCTTGTTTTGGAAAAGCTGGTGACTAACATCTAGTACCACTTTTTGTTGTTGTTGTTTTTGTTTTTTGTCTTTTTGAGTCAGGGTCTCTTTATGCAGTTTAGGCTGACCTTGAGCTGACTTTGTAGCCCAGCCTGGCCTCAAACTTTCAATGATCCTCCTGCCTCAGCTTCCAAGTGTTGGGTTTACAGGTGTACATACCACGCCCCAGCTTCTGGTACCACTTCTAAATTGACAAAAAGATATTGATAATAGTTTCAAAAACATTTTGTGTTCACTGCAGATTGACTTTCACAAAGAACAGTCAGCAGTTTAACATATCTTTTTGCTTAAAAATTCCTTGAATGTGTCCCAGATGCATTAGGCACAAAAACCATCGTCTTCCTGATTAATGGCTTAGAAATAGTGCCGCTTGCTTTAGTAAGAACAGTGCCAGCTCTGGTGAGCTGATTTGCATGCCTTTCGTAGGTGAATGAGTGATGAATGAAGCGTCCCAGCAAGGAAAACGTCTGCTGATTTTGAACGCAAAAATCAAAATTTATGAAGTAACCAAAAAGTAAACCTAAATTCAACTTGGTATAAAATCTGACATGCTCACGTCCGAGTGTTTTTCTTTACATGAAGGAAAGTCCTTCCAAAATTGGACATCAGATATTTATTAGAAGAGATGGCTGTTTTCAATGTAAATTACAAACCTTCCATTTTTTTTTTAAAGAATGAATTGGTGGGGGAAAGACCAGTTTATGACTTTGTGTCTCCAGGTATCCCCATCCCCTACCCCGCCCTGGAACTGCACCCTGGGGGACTCTGCTGGCAGGCTCTGGGGACAGATTTCCTTACTGCCACTGGGTGAGGGATGGGGCTTCCTGTTGTTGAGTGTCCTGCAGTGTCAGGACACCCACCGCTGTGGTCAGTAGCCCCACTGCCCAGGACTGCCGACATCCTGCTGCGGTTTTGTTAGAATGCTGAACACACTGACAGTCATGCTTCTCTGGGATGTGAACTTTGTGTAGATTAAAAACATAAAAAAGGTTCATATTTACTTGTATAACTCCTAATGATTAATTATGCTGGATAATAAGAAATCTAAAATGGCAAAGAAACCGGTGAATTGTTATCTTTCTTTGTTTCTCAAGAAAAGAGGGAAAGTTTTTCCTTGCTCAGCATTCTCCTCAGATGTGTTTAAATATTTGTTCAAAGTGCAGAAAATGTATTGTTTAAAAATTACCTGTTTTAGTATGATCACAAAAAGTTCCGTGAATGGGGATTTATCAGTAACTCTTTTGATTGTGATTTAATTTTACTCTTTGAGACTAAAACTTTTAATTTTTCTTATTTTTTTCTTAATATAAGACTACACATAGAGCATTGTATTTTGAAAATGCTTTTTGTGATACTTTTTTGGGAAATAATTGCATTTACTTTCTTGTATAAGATAATTTGTCATATGAAAGAATAAGTTACTCTGTAAAATGCTATAATCATTTAAGGCGTGATCATATTAATACATATTTTTTCGGTTTTTAAAACTGTTCCCACTCACTTGTTACATTTTCCTACCTAAATTAATTATGACAGGCGCAGTTTGTCTTGTTCCCAAGTTACCAAAGCCACAGTCTTGCTCTTTTTATGTTTTACTTTCCAGAGAAGAACGACAGGTCAGACCTCAAGCCTTCAGTGTGGGATCCTCACTCAGGCTGCTGCTTGCTTTTAAGATTTTTTTCTTTATCTTGGTTTTCAGAAATCTGACTATGGTACAACTAGATGTGAGTTTCTTTTTTATTTATCTTAGGATGCTCTGAGCTTTTTAAATGAATGTTTTGGGTAACTTTGGGAAAACGTTGGTTATTATTTCTGAAAATATTTTTCCTGTTTGTACTTTTGTTCTGAGACTTCAGTTACCCCTATGGTAGATCACTGCGTGCTGTCCTCTAGGCCTTGAAGCTCTGATTCATTTTCTTTCTGCTTCTCTCTTGTTATTCAGATTTTGGAATTGCTATTTCCCTTCAAGTTCCCTATTTTTTTCTGTCTTCGTCTTCATCCTGTTACCATTCTCGTCTAATAGATTTTCAAATTTCAGTTACTTGAGTTTTCATTTCCAGAATTTGCATTTTTTTTCTTTTCGTAGCTTTTGGTTCTCTTGATAGTTTCGTTATGTGTTAACTCCTTTAGGTCCTGTTTTTCTTCATTTCTTTGAATTAACTTGGATATATTATAGCTGCTTTAAAATGTCTGCTTTGTAATTGCAACATCTGAACCATCTCAGGGTCAGTTTCTATTGATTGCTTCTTTCTTTGGTTCCTATTTTTATTTTTTATATACCCAACAATCTTTGATTTTCCACTGGACATTGCAGATTCTATGTCCTAAACATTCTGAGTTCTGTGACATAATGTGGTTTATTTATGCCAGCGGGCCGATTCGTTTTCTTGACCTTGGGAAGGTTTGACTTCACGCTTTGTTAGTGTGGATCTGTGGAATTCCCAGTGTAGTTTCCCTTGCTTGGTGGAATTCAGCTTCCTGCTTTGTCAGTGCCTTGAGTTTTGGCAGGTCTTGGTTCTTGGCTTCATGAAGGTAAGTTTAGGGTAGGCCTTCCTCGAGGACACTGTGCTTATTCCTAGGGGCCACAGAGTGCTCAGAAGGAAGGGGTAAGCAGTTCTTGTGACATCTTAGCTGGCTGCCCAAGCCGAGAGGGTCTCTTCAGTCTAGCTGGGCCAAGATTCCACAATGTCCAGAGCTGTTTCACCTTGGTCACTGCTGCCCTCTCAGCTCTGTAATAACTGCTTTCTACAAGGCTTCATGGCTTCTTCTGAGCGTGTGCAGCCCAAACATTGGGCAGAGATTCACAGGGGATCCCCATGTAGACTTTTGACTCTCACCTGCCAAAGCCCTTGATGTGCCGGTGTCCTGGTCTAGAGATTCTATACTCTTTAACTGAAGAGAACTCTGATCTCTGTGTGCCCAGCTCACTTAGCTGGCATGGATTCTAGCTCGCTGAACTGCGCTCTGGAAATCATTCCCAGGCTGGAGAGTTAGCTCAGTGGGATTCCTCGTGGGATTGCGGCTTATTCTGGGTCTTACCAGTGTCTGGCAACCTCTGCCTGTGTGTGTTGTAGTTGCACACATCAGGAAGGCTGGCCCAGTGCTGATTACTTCCCTAGGACCCGGAGGAGAAAGTCCTTCCCTGCTTTTGACTTAGAGTGAGAATGTTAGATCGCACTTGGTTTTTCCCCCTAGCGATTTGCAGCGGCCCCTGAAGTTGATGTCAGAGTCCCACAGAAGTTTGCACATCACAGTGCTATGTGACCTGCTTGCTATTTTGCCTTGCCATGCACCTTGGCAGAGTTCTCACGATGAGCGGCCTCGGAAGGCACAGCTCCCAGGTCTAGAGCACTGTGGGCTTATTTCTGTGATAGCAGGCCATACTGCATGGAAAGAAGGGCCTCCAGGTGGGAGGAATGTCCTCCTTTTTGTGGGGACTTGGCCATCTCCTGTGGAGAGCGATCCATGGGTGGAACTGCTGATAGGTTTACAACCCTTTCTCTCCCTGCAGGCAGAAGCCTGATAGTGTAGGGTGGTGGGGGCAGGCCTGGGGTGGTGGGGGCAGGCCTGGATTCAGGACAGCTTCTGCGGGCTCAGAAGAGGTTCAGGCTCTGTGGGAACACAGCAATGAGTAGTCCAGGAGTGGGTGCCAGACCAGTTCTGGCCAATGAGATATAAGGGGAAGATGGCGAAACTTCACCGTCCAATGAAAAGCCAGCACTAATGAAGACTTTGTTTAAAGCTTACCTTCTCCGGTACTTGGGACTCTGGTGAAAGGACTTGATATCCCAGCAGCTGCCTCCGTGACAGCCCAGAGGATACAAAGCTAAGGAGGGAAGAGCAGAAAGAAAGAGCTTGGAGGGGCATTCCAAAGTCCGTGCTATCCCAGGAGAAATCCTCCTGTCTTTAAGTTGCTGTTGATAAAGTGTGTTGTACCAGCGGTTACTCCTGAGCCTCCAGTGCAGCTGGAGGGGAAGAGTAAAAGCAGTTACAACGGTTGCATCTCAAGAGAGGATGGAAATGCGGGAGCAGCTGCTGCCGGGGTGACCACTCACGGGGAGTTCCGCGGGCTGATTTAATGTGTATGCAAACCGCAAGGTTGTCTTTAAAAGCAGCAATACAGTTTTGAAAACAGTAACCCCAAGGCATGTAGAAATTTTCAGAGGTGTAACATGATCAGTGATGGAATAATTCTTTGAGTGATTAGCAATTTAAAAATACCCAAGATGGTTTTCTTGGTGACTGCCAGATGAAAGTAGGCAGAATAATTGGAAAAGGAGATACAAGGGTAGAGCTGGGAAAAATTAGGGGAGGGGCATCCAGATTAAATTATGCAGTTAAGGCTATCATGATTAAGCAGGAATATGCCTAATGAATTTTAATTATTAATTAATTAATTGACTGCAAGACAAAGGTGACACTCTTAACTCCTGGACCATCCTCCTGCCTCAGCCTCCCAAGAGGCTGGAATTACAGGTGTGCACCACAGCACCTGGCTCCATAGTAAGTTCTTCCGGGGCTCTGTGGAGTAGATGTGCTGCGAATCTTGATTTCATAACAACAGTGCGCATGTCAGAAATGGTGTCAACTTTCTGTACCTCTTGGCAGGAAGCAGCCGCACCCCTTCAGTTGTGTCCTAAGAAGCCACCGTGTTTCCTAGCAACCTCTGGTTTTATTTATGGAACGAGAGATGGTCTCTATGGAAA